GCTCCTCGTTCCCTGTTATACAAACAGGGAGAGCACAGCGAAAAAAAAAATTTACTCTAAAATTGACAGTAGCAATACAGAAAGAAATACAGCCCAAAATGTCTAAATTTTTCATCTGCTGACATTAATATCTAAATTGTAGATCTATTAAAATGCTGTTAGCATCTTCTCTTTCTAAAAGCAGAAGGCAAGCACAACTATTGTATGTGTGTTTGTAACAACTCCTCCCTTTAAGATAATGCATAATTTGCACATTCAATGGCACATCACACAACTTGGCACTTGTACCCTTAGGCTGACCCTGCTATGGCACCTGCTGAAGCCACCCTGAGTCTTGTGGAGGCAACTAGATCTGCTCCTGTGTTGCTGTATGGAAGTATGCTGTATGAAGCACACTTCCAGGTCAGTGCAATCTCATAGCCCGAAAGAGTAAGTCCTGACAAAAAACAGTCACTTTATGAATGCTGAAATGGGGCTAGCTTAACAACAGTGAAGTGAAAAGAAACAAACCAACCAACCTACCCAAAACCAAACAAAAAAAAAAATCCCCCAAACAAAACCACAAAACCCTCAAACAAACGGGGAAAAAAAAAAGAGAAAACAAAAGGTTTGCAACAGCTGCCTCTAGTATGTTCTTCCTCCAGCTGCAGCCAGCCCAGGTTTGACTCCTGGCAGTGTTCTGAGTAACACTCAGAATGAGTATTTGGAGCTCCTTAAAGAGCCAAAAATCTTGAGTTCATGAGCACACAAGAGCACTCCACATGCTCTACCTAAAGAGAAAGAAGTCTGTCCCAACACAAGCTCAAGCAGACTTGGAAGGTCGCCCTCACTGTTGGTTTTTTTTTTCCAAATATGCATTATTTGCCAGCTTAACCAGACCAGCTGAAAGGAACCATTTCTAGCAGAAAGTGAGGCTGCAGTGTGGGACTGAACACCACCCCAGCAAACCCCTGGGAACAGGCCCTGCAGCAGCATCCCCTCCTCTGCAGAGCAGCAAAGGGGAACCTGTGTCACTCTGGGGATGCAGCAGCACCTGTAAGCTTGGTTACAGCACTATGGAAGGCAAAGGCACTGAGATTTGAACTCAAAAGCACACAACTACAGTGGACTTCAGCAAGCTATGAACGGAGAAGTCAGAGTGAAACAACAGTTTCCACGTGTGCTACACACAGTTAAATCCCTCTGCTCTCTGCTGGCAGGCAGTGAGCAGGTTCCAGGGCCTGAGGTCACGGCTTCTCCGGGGGGCCTGGTGAGCTGGAGCATGGTGACAGTCAGCAGTGCTGCAGGGAAGCACTTGATCCATGTGGGGCAAGAGTTTCAGAGCAGAACATGACATTCACCCACATGGAAGAAAGATTTGTTTGTTTAACTCCCTGCAAATAATTACGAAGTGGGGAAAGAGCTTCTGCCTGTGATCATACCACACCAGTCCAATAATCTCAGAAACAAGCATTGATCCCAGAGTCCTTAACCAAAAACATACCACCACCATCACCATGAAGAGTGCAGGAAGCTGACACCACAGTAAATTTAAAACTCAACCCAGAACCTAAAGACTGCAGGACTCCCTTTGCCAGGAGGACAATCTGTGGTAACAAATAGTTAGTGGAACTGAAAACAGTATCTGCAAACCTGTTACATGAGTCATAACTGCAGATTTCAGTTGTTTATATGCATATCTATAGGTAAAATTCAACCATCAGCACGTGGAGATAGATGTAACCTGGATCATACCACTCTGATCTTTAAGAGAAGGGCAGATGGAACATACTCGGTCTGAGTTTTTTCTCCCCTCTTGCCCTTCCTGTCAGTATTCATCCCTTAAAGGGAGTGACTCTGTTCTTCCAGAAAGAACAGAGCTCATGGTCTGCATGCACATACAATACAGAACTAGATGAAGCATCAACATCCAGAGCACATCTGCAAACCCCAGGAAACAGAAGGCTGGAGGGAGTAACTCCTGACATTTCCTTTAATGGGAATTGTGTAACTTACAAGGTCTGCTCTAGCCAGCCTGCCTCCCTGAGGCCCTCCTCTCGCTGGGTGCCTAGAGCTCACCCTCTGCCCACAGCAACCCCAAATGCTCAGTGACCCTCCAAAAGAACTGTCAGACTCCAATGCCATGCTCAGATAAACAGGATCAAACGCCACGTTCACCAGAAATTCTTCAGAATAATGGTATAGATTTTTTTAAATAATTTTTTTCTCTTGTTTCATCACAGATAATAAGTGTTGAGGTTACAAAAATGTTTATAGCTAGCAGCAGAAGAACCAGAAAGGAAAACAAAATCATTGTGCAGCTACCCCAAGGGAACAAAAACCCTCAGGAGAGAAATTAAACCTCAGACCCATGCCTTTATCTATCTCCTAGCTGAAAAACCACATGGATCACTCTGACATCGCTTCCCTCCTTGGGGACTAGGGCAGTGAAGCAGAGAAGTTTTCTTCTGGATACATGTTGTCCAGCTCAACTTAGGTATTTATGACTATGTACCAGGATCTACTTACAACAGGAAGTTGTTGTTACATCCCTTACCCTGCGCACTTCACTCCTAAAGAACTTATGAGGACAGGGGCATTCCCAACTCTGCTTGCCAGACAGAAGCATGCAGAGAAAAACTACTTGTAAATATCAGCATAGAAACTATCTTCATACTCATCCTATCAATCAATCAAACCAAATGCAGGGAGAGGTTATGAGATTACTGTCCTGGTTTGGGGTGGAACAGAACTAATTCTGTCCAGTGATTTTACTTTTCAGCTAAAGCTCTTTTAACTGGCTGCACTTCCTGAAGTCAGCAGCAGGTTTCCACAGACAGTGTCTGCTTACAGCAGTGACAACGATCCATGTTTGGAGCTACCACCAAGGGCTGGGGTGCAGACCAAGGTCACTGCTGAGCCCTGTGTACCACGCCGAGGGGGGCAGAAAGTACAAGCCCCACCTGCAGGGAGGAGTGGGCAGGACAGGACTAAATTCCCCAGTGGGGTGTTCCATCCCCATCTGCCACCTTCAGTACAAAAGCTGAAGGATCACAAGGGTCCTTCCCCTTCCTTCCTCGCTTTGCTGCTTCTTCAACAGCCAGCATCTGAGGACTCTGTCCATCCTGCCTTTGATCCCAAGTCCTCCTGACCCCCGTTCCAGAATCCAGCTCCTGGACCCAGCTGCTGTCTGCTGCTGAGTCCAGCCTGGGACCTTTCCCAGGGGTCTGCTCCCCAGCATGGGGGGTGATGGTGTATTGCCATATGCCATATGCAATATGCCAAAATGGCATATTGCCAGCAGGGGGGAGTTGGGTTCCATACTGACTTGGTATATATTTGTATATATTCCATTTTATTACTACTAGTAGTAGTAACACTAGTATTATTATTTTCATTAAAGCTGCTTTACTTTTCTAATCAATAAGTCTCTCTCCTTTATTCCCTTTCTCTTTGGTGGGGGGAGAGTGTTTAAAAGAGAGAGTCTGACACAGTTCTGGGGCAGCCCTGACCCTAAACTGTGACAACTGCATACAAATAAGCTAAAGACCCTTGACTTGTGACAAATACATAGGGTAAAAAAAAAATAAAAGGAAACACAGTTGTGTGACCTATCGAAGTAATGAATGGGAGTAAGGTTCCTCTCTCTTTGCTGAAATTCATCAGACAGATTAATTCACTGTAAATTATTTACTCAGCTATAGCCACAAGGGAACATATTTAGAGGGGAGGTAGAATTCCTATGGTATTTGCAGTTTTTCATAAGTAAACTTTTGAAAGGTAATTAATCACACTGGAAACTGTAAGTAGGATGGAATCTGCTCGTATACATTCACACATGGCATCTGCCCCCTCATTCAATCCATACATTCACTACCCAGCCTCTGGGTTCAAATCTTATTTGCATGTGCATACAATTTACTCGGCAGAAGAATAACTCCCGAGACAAAAATAAAGCCATTTTTTTTTCCTGCAGTGAAAATTTGTCCCTGCTCTGACTCTCAGTTCTCAGACTTGCTGGCTGATCAGCTCGTCCCAGACTGTTATGAACTGCTTTCAGGTGGGGGAGCAGGATCCGGGACGTTCCCCAGCTCACCGAGTGTAGTAGGAATCCACGCCCAGGGCCTCCCGCACGCTGGAGATGTGCTGCTCCAGCACAGAGCTGGTCACCGCTGGCAGGGTCACGCTGCTGGCCTCCTGCAAGTCCCCAGCACTTCCCGTCAGGCTGTCTCCCAGATAGCACTCGTGAAATTTCAGAATTCCTGCAAGGAAGGCACCAGAATCACGAGGTTACTTCTGCAGGGCGGGAGCGCTGCTGGCAGCAGCCGCCTAGGACGGTGGCACAGCCCCTGGCATGGGGCACTGCCAGTACGACTGGAGCAAAGTATTCTGTGCCATGTCTCCACAGGGCTTCTCCAGCATTCCATAGTACAGCCTGGCTTTTAAAATCTGGTTTTGTACTTTGCAGATGATGGCTCAAAGATATAAATGCAGAGCAGTGCTTTATGAGATGCTCAGAATACATTTACTATTGCAGCACTCTCATATAAGTTATAAAACAGATCTTTCATACGAGCACCTACCAGAGTAATCCACATTTCAATAGATGCACATGAAAAATACCTATTAACAGCCTCTGATCACAAAAATTGAACACACGAGGCTCAAATGCTGAACAAGAGTGTTATTACTACAGCAGAACCTCTCACATCACACAAAGACTTTTCATTTCGCTCATATGCATGAAAATACATTATATACAAAGAAAGAAAAAGATGGATTGATGAATAGTAAAATATTAAAAGATAGCATTTCACAATGGGTAAACCAGATAAAAGACACTGACTATTTTGTTAAGAATTCAACTATTATTATGGATAAAACCTCCTTCCATTCAGACTGGCATATACTGCCTGATATAATTAATTCTGCAGCCTGTGATCAACAGTAAAAGGCTGCTCTGGATGCTCTGTTTGCCTTGACAGCAGAAATTATTAAACCAGTTATGAAGAGTGGAGGAATAAAGAATAAAGCAACTCCTTCTGTACCAACAGCAGCACATGCAGCATTGGTGAAGAGGCTCTAAGGGTTCCACCTCAGGAGAGTAATGAGGATCCTGGGCTGCCACTGAACCTGCTCCCTCTGTCAGCACTAACTAAACAAGGTGAGATCACCAAGGCTGGGCTGGAGTTACTACTAAGAGCTCCCAGCAAAGCTGCTCAGATGGAGCCCTTGAAGCACCACGGTGCCTCTCCTTCCCAACACCTGACATGCCTTCAAGGAGGCAGCCACAAACCCACATGCCTAAGTGCAACTGCTTTTCTACAAGACCCAGTTTGTGCAAGGAGGAGACTTGTCGCAAAGCGTAGTGGCAAACCTTACACTTCTGCTCTACATAGTTTTACTAAGCTCAGCTTGATATTAATACCATAGAATTACTGGCATTTTATTGTGCAAGCTACAGGCCTGAAGAGCCAAGAAGCGACTGGGTGCATAGCAAGACGTCATCTTACACTTCTATATGCAACATCACAGAACCCCCCAAAAAGCCTATCTTCCAGCCCTGCCTGAAGTCAGGCACGTGTGAACGCTTGCCTCCCCTCCCAGAGCGTTTCTGGTGCAACCTAAACAGCACTTTCTATCTCTTTAGCTTTGTCATGGTGAAGGGCTGCAATTATTAAATTATATCCAGGAGGAGCTCATGAAAATTTCAAGTCATCGCTTTATTAGATAATGAACAGCAGCTGTCTGCAAAAAGCAATCCTCTTCAAATTAATCCTCCTTGCTCCTCTGTGCTAAGTGTTTGCACATTCATATAAGGAGAATTCAGAGGATCAGGCAGTTCAATGGCACGTCAGGAAGCAGGGACGCCCTTCTGTTTTCTGCAATCTACTTCAGTGAATAACTGTCAAAAGCTCTTGGTAGGATAAAGCACAGAAATATAATTAAAGTAGGGATTCTTATGCACAGAAGATTCTCACAGAGCCAGCATACTTGCAATCTCATTACTGCACTACTCTGCTCTGCCCTGTGGGAAATACATAGATATTGGAGGTTGAAAAATGGAAATATTAAACACGTGAAACATTTCCATCTCCAGGTGAACGTCAGAGCCCTGAATAAGCACTTCTGTGTCATTTTGCTGTGGCTATACCATAGTTTTCTGTCTATTCAGCTTTAAAGTACTAGATGGAAGAGGATTCACTCTGGTCCTAGATTCATTCCTAGCTACAAATAATGCAATTCTCCCTTCGTAAGGCTTGTTCACGGGCTCTTATCTCCAAAAACAATCTCACCTGCCCCAGGAGCCAGCAGCCAGCTGTAGAGATAACCTGCAGCCAGTGAGTAGTAAAGAACAAGTCCCCTCTGGCCATTCACTGTCTCCAGGACCTGGTCAATGGTCACTGGAGAATAGGGATCAGAGTCCTGCTGCCCAGTTTGACGTTCCACAAGCAGGTCAGCAAATGCCCTTGTTCGTCCTCTCTCTGCTACTGCCAGTGCTTCATCGTGGTGACCTGAGAAGACAAAGCACATCTTAGACGTGACAGCAATGGGGTCTGTAGCACAATGTGCAGAGCAGGGACAGCTGCTATCCCGACCAGAACTAAGGCCTGGGGAAGCAGGGTCACAGCACTTATTTCTGGAAGGAGCAGCCTCTGTGCTGGAATACAGTCCCCCAGATCATCTTGGCTGCAGATACAGCACAGCGTGTGGGAGAGCAAGCCACAGAAAGGCAAAGGAATGGAGGAAGCAAGAGAGAAGATCCAAAGGTTCCCTGAAACCCAAAGCAGCACCCTTATTTCTGTCCTGGCAAGGAAGTGCTGTGCTGTATCGGACAGATGAGGAGTGCACTGTATCATGAACTGTCTCCTGCAACTTCAGTTAGCTCTTGGCATGAGGTTGGAGCTGAGGCTCAGCACAGGACAGCATCTCTTACCGAGAGTGACGAGCACTCGCTGCAGGGCCTGGTAGGAGGATGTCTGCAGGTCGAAGAGGGACAGCTTGTAGTCTGTGCTCAGCTGCGCCTCGTGTCGGATGGTTTCAAACAGTGCCGAGGCCCGGTACAGCTGGGAGGGAAAACAGCCACAGTGACTTCCTCACAGACACGGCACAAAGCCCTGGCTGGGACAGCAGGAGGATCCAGGAGCAGCATGCCCTCAGGGTGCCTCAGACAGCCCCTCAGGGTGCCAGTGTCCCTGGCAGAGGGCAAGCGACTCTGGGGATCCCCCAGCCAGTGCCTCCCCTGGGGACAGCTGTGACCCAAAGGGCTGAGAGGACACTAGCCCACCAGCACAAGGCAGACTATGGGATACCTGATGCTGAGACTCCTCCAGGTTCCCACTCGCCCAGAGGGAGAGGCCAAGGCCATGGCGGATTTTGGCTTCATCTTCTCTGCGCCCCAGCTGCTCCGCCAGCCTCAGTCCTGGAAAGGAGTAAGAGTGAGAGAAGGTCAAAGGGGAAAAGAGGCTTCAGCAGCACTTCTGGCTCTGCAGCCTGGGGGGCTG